AGCTAAAACCAAGACAGTACATCAATTGCTCATATGCAAGTTCAGAATAAAGCTGAAGAAAATTAAAACAAGTCCATAAGAGCCAAATTACAATATTGAATCTATCGCACCTAAATTATGAGAACAACACAAGAAGAGATGTGCTGCATTGAACACTGATGACAGAAGATGCAAAGAGCTGTGGGAGGACACGAAGAACATCGTTCATGATGAAAGAAAAAGGTCATTAAAAAGTCAGGAAAGAATAAAAGAATTAAAGTGGATGTTAGAAGTGACTCTGAAATTTTTCTCATAACCGTAGAGTAGCTAAAGCAAAAGGAAGAAATGATGAGGTCAACAAGTTTAATAAAAATTTCAAAAGGGAGCTTGAGAAGACATCGTAAAATATTACAATGAAATGTGTAAATACTGAGCTTCAGAAAACCAAAAAGGAGGAACATCCTCAGTATGTCTTAAACTGAAAGAATTGAAGAAAAAAATTCAAGCTTTGAATTGTACTATTGAAGGATTTTAAGGGCAAAACATCGAATAATTCAGGAGGCATCAAAAGAAGATGTATACACAAGTCATTATACCAAAGGGAACTAGTCAACATTTCAAAATTTCAGGTAGTACTATAGAAGCAAGAACCAATAGTGCTAAGGGAAACACTTCAAGCTGTTCTCAAAGCATTAGCCCCCAAAAATGTTCCAGTAATTGATGGAACAGCAATTGAAATATTTCAATAAGCTGATGAAGCACTAGAAGCACTCACTGTACTATATCAGGAAATTTGGAAGGCACCATATGGCGAATTGAATGGAAGAGGTACACATTTTTACCCATTACAAAGAAAGATGGTCCAACAGAACACTCAGTTTTAGAATACCATTTATACGACATGCCGGAGATTTTGCCAAAGATCCTCTAACAATGGTTGCAGCAGGACATTGACAGAGAAAAAAAATACAATTGCCAAGGATTTTGTCTTGCTTGGATATATAATAAATGCTCATGGAAACATCATTTAAGAGATCAAAAGATGAGCTGTATTAGATAAATCTGCTGCAAAAGACCTCTTTAGATTACTGAAAAGCAAGAAGCATACTTTTAGGACTTAGGTGCACATAGCCCAAGCCCCAGCATTTTCTATTTCCTCATGTTCTATGAAAGTTAAACATTGAATAAAGAAAACCAAAGAAGAATTGATGCATTTGAATTACGGAATTGGAGAAAAATATTTAAAATACTGGTGATTATTAAAAGGATCCAGACATATCTGTCTTGGAAGAAGTAAGGCCAGAGTGCTCAGAGCAATGTTGGGAAGTCTTTCGCAGGAGACTCCAGTTCATGGGGAAATACATCATGCTTGGCAAAGTATGGGTACTTTGATAAAGTATAAAGTATTGAATAGAGGAAGATTCTCAAGAAAATAGATTGACACTCCTGCAACAATGGGCTTAAGCAAAGGAAGCATCTGCGATGATGGTGCAGGACTGGGCAGTGTTTCACGGTGTTGTGAACCAACTCTTCGGCACCTAACAGCAAACAACAGAGAATAATGTTATAGGCAGGTTCTTTCCTCCTCTCTGCACCATGTGAAACTGACCAAATCGAAGTGTAACGTGCTCAGGTGAAGTGCTTTTAAAAATGTATAAACAAGTGTGGTCAGTGTAGTTCAGAGCTCTAGGCAGGCACACTAGTTCCTTGCATGGGAAACTGAAATAGAAGATTAGGTGACTTGAGAACCGACTCCTACCTTTATCTTGGTTATTTTTGTAGTAGTGGTCTCAGACAGTGTTTGCCTTTTTGTGATTGGCTAATTTCACTCAGTATAATAGATTCCAGGTCCAGCCATGTCACAAAGCATTTTATGGTTGCATTTTTGTGTATGGTCCAGAGATTCTTTATCTACTCTTCTACTGATGCGTATTTGATCTGCTTCCAGCTTCAGGCTGTTGTCAATGGAGAGCACACATCGGCTTGTTTGTGTTCTCTCTCTTACATTTGTGGGACATATGCCCAGTACTGCTATTATGGAGTTGTATGGGATTTCTATTCCCAGTTGTTTTGGGTAGTGTCATATCACTTTCTTCAGTGTTTGTACATGTTCACAAACCTGCCAGCATTTATATTAAAAGAGAGTTTCCAGATGTGACTAAGATAAGGATCTTGAATTAGAGGTATTGTCGTCATTTATTTGGGGATCCTTAAAAATAATGGCAGTATTTAGAAGCGATAACCAGGAGCATCGAAGTTAGAGGAAAGATTCAATGATAATGGAAACAGGCAGAGATTAGGATATAAGAAACTGTTGACATAAGATAAAGGATAAAACCAGCTGTCCAGGAAATAAGGTAGCCTCTAGAAGCTATGGAAGACAAGAAAAATCAATTTCCTACTACAGCCTTGAGAAGGTGCTGATGACTTATTTTGGATTCTGATTACCAGAAATGAAAGGGGACAAATTTGTTTTATTTTATACTATAAAAATATCATAACTTGTTGTATCATCCATAGAAATATTATAAAATATTCTTCTTATGAAGGTATTCATTTTAGGCCCATTTATTATTTTACTTCATCACTTGAAATAAAGACCCATTCCATCATTTGAATTAATTAAATAACTTGAATTAAATAACCCAGAAATTGTACCATGACACACTTCTGTAAAAAAAGAAAAAGTCATAATATTGCTGAAAATGAATATATATTTTCAAATAAATTAACACTTACCTTTAATTCAATTTAGTCTTCTGAAAGATTTATAATAAAGAAAACACAAATTCCAAATAAAATTCAACATTTTTAGGCTTTTGTGCAGAGAAAAATCTATCATTTATATTTACGTTTTAAATTGCAAATAAAAATGACTAAGTGTTTCTTTCAGCTTATTGTTTTCTTTTCTATGAATGGTGTTGTGTGGTTAGGGTTGGCAGGTGCCGGGACTTGCCCCTGACTCATAGCAACCCTTCATAGTAACAGAGTAAAGAGTGGTTTGGCAGATGTGCCAAAGGCCTCTTTCCTTATGCTTTTAAAAAAATCTCATGTTATTTCTTTATTTCACATTGAGAAAAGTAAATCATAAACATAGGAAAAGCTACAAAATGGAACATCTCACTGTGATCAATATTACTTTGTTTTGTTTCCAAATACACATTAATGCTTCCTCTATGTCAAGCTAATTGGAAGGTAATGGGCTGTACTACCTCATGGGTCATATAATATAGAGGAAAATATATTTGTTGTTGCTAGGTGCTATTTTTTTTTGGTTTCCACTTACCTTATGGATAATAGAATGAAACACAGCCTGGACCTGAGACAGCCTTAAAGTCTTTCCTGTGTATGAGCTCATTGTTGCTGCTCTGTTTCTATTTGTTGAGGGTCTTTCTCTCTTTTTGGTTGCACCTCTACTTTACCAGACATGAAGTCCTTCTCCAGGGATTGTGCTCCTAATAGCAGTTTCAAAGTATTTGAGATAAGGTCTCCCTGAGTGTGAAATAAATGAACATTATGGCAGTGTTAGCAGACTTCTAGAAGTCTGTAGAATATTCAACTCAAGTCCATATGTCAAATGCTAGTCCATAAGTCCCTGTTCAAACTCACACAGCCACATGCAATGATGTAGAATGCAGGAAGATCACAGGCTGGTGGGTGTAAAGTTATGTGAATCCAATGGTGGTGGAAGAATCACAGGGCTCCAGCAGGTTTCAAGGTGGTCATCAAGCAGGAACATAAAGGGAGACAGAGCGAGGGAGAGAGAAAGACATCTCCAGAAAGCCATATAGCTTTATCACACATGCAAGTGAGGTCATCAGGCTGAGACTTGATTGACAGGCTAAACTCAACCCCTACACTTTAATATATCTTCAATTTGACACGAAATTATGTACCTATCACAACATGGTTATATAATTTAATTTATTCTTTTTAAAACTTAATTTTATACTACTAAGTATCTTTATGACAATAACATAAATAATTGATTAAAAATGATCACCATTTATTATATTTTGTCAAATTTACTGCAAAAGGGTGCTTGTAAAATGTATATACTATCTTTTAACCACACTATTCCTTAATTTTGTAGCATAAAATGACCTTTCCATTTGCTCACATTTCTATAGGTCAATATTTGGAGCTATACCTTGTTGCCCAAAATTAATCTCCTAATTTCACCGACATTTCAATTATGGTTACAGACATTCTGTAGTTAATTAGAGGCTGGATATCTAAAATAACTTCATACCTCATGGTAGATGATTCCAGAAGCTGGGCCTTATCAATACCAGTGGTAGTAAAGTTCCTAGCACCAAGCAAGACAAAGCAAGTGCTATTACTGAAGTGCTTAAGTTTGTTTGTTTGTTTTCATTATGTTTGTCCCATCAGCTAGATAGAGGACTGGTGAAGCCCAGAGTTAATAAGGAAGGTGAATGTACTAAATGTAATCAAGAAGACAGATCCAGGGAAGAGCATTATGTGGAAATATTAAAAATCTAATGTCATTTTGTAGACATTATTGTGACCTATTTTATCTTTGATTCCTTTTGCATAGTTTCTTTAAATATAAATTATATGAATAAAGAACAGAAAATGACATAGCTCTATAATTAGGAATTTGACATCATTTAAGCTGTCTACCACCAAGGGATATTTACTATTTGACCTCCATAATGACATTCCTTTATTTTAAATAAAAAAGGCACCTCATCAGACTCGATTGGAAAACATTCATAAAGGTCAACAGACAGACCTGGACAAATTTATAGGTTTTTATTTCTCTCTCTCATGTCTAGGAGATAGGAGGAATAAACAATCCTGAGGAGAAATCAATGGGATCGACAATTCCAGGGGACATGGAAGAGGGGGAGGTAGGGGAAAGGATGGGAAGAGCCAACACACCCAGAGATAAAGGAACAAGTGATCTAAAATCAATGGTGAGGAGAGCATACAATCCATAATGGGGACTGATCTAGTGCAATGCAGCCGAGAGGAATTACTAAAAGATAAATTACTAAATGATTAATGTATTTCATCATCTCCGCCATTTAAGAGGGAAAAGGACTCCAAGCCCTCTGATTCTTGATCAGAACTACATAAACACCAAAAATCAAGTTATCAAAGCAGAAAGGAGGGTGCTAAAGGAGTTGGGATTTTGTGTTCATGTCAAGCATCCCCATAAGATCATTGTTGTGTATTTACAAGTCTTAGAGTGTGAGCGTAATCAAACCCTGGTTCAAACTGCCTGGAATTATATGAACGACAGTCTTCAAACCAATGTTTTTGTTCGATTTCAACCAGAGACCATAGCGTGTGCTTGCATCTACCTTGCAGCGAGAGCTCTTCAGATTCCACTGCCAACTCATCCCCACTGGTTTCTTCTTTTTGGTACCACAGAAGAAGAGATCCAGGAAATCTGTATAGAAACTCTTAGGCTTTATACTAGAAAAAAGCCAAACTACGAAATGCTAGAAAAAGAAGTGGAAAAGAGAAAAGTAGCTTTACAAGAAGCTAAATTAAAAGCAAAGGGATTGAATCCGGATGGGACTCCTGCCCTATCAACTCTTGGTGGATTTTCTCCAGCCTCCAAGCCCTCATCACCCAGAGAAGTTAAAACCGAGGAGAAGTCACCAGTTTCCATCAATGTGAAGACCGTCAAAAAGGAACCCGAGGATAGACAGCAGGCTTCCAAAAGTCCTTATAATGGTGTAAGAAAAGACAGCAAAAGAAGTAGAAATAGCAGAAGTGCAAGTAGATCAAGGTCAAGAACACGCTCACGCTCCAGATCACATACGCCG